ATAACTCAATAGAGGCTCCAAAAATGTGTGGAAATGAACGAGTTACTTATTTAAATCATTAAATATAATTAACAATAATTCTTTGATCTATTTCCGGTACAGAAGCCAAGTTCATAATTAGATTGGTAGTAAGTTATATAAAAAAAATAACAACTATTGGTCTTAAAATCTGAAAATATATTTATCACTCATAGTTATTTATAAATCAAACATTAATGATGCAGATCCATCAAAAGGACCCAAAAATTTGCTGAAATCAACAAATAAAAAACAATTATTTTGAGGGTCGAACGTACAACGGTACTAGATAAATAGAAATTAGCAGTCTTCGGGGTCCTCAGAGGAGGCTCCCCAATCATTGTCTGGCAATAAAAAAATACCAAACAGTTATAATGTGGAACCATCAGAGGACCTCCAAAAAATGCCGAAATAAAGGAATAAAAAACAATTATTTTGTGGACAAACTTGTACGAGATAACTACAAAACAATGATCTTCGTGGCTCTCAAAGAGGGCCCCTCTAGGTCGATGACGGATGAGATATACAGATCTACAGGAGAGATTGGAAGAAAAGGAAAAATAATATAATATGAAATAATGGACATAAAGGGATGTGGAGAATGAAAAGAAAAAAGAATATCAAATAATAAAAAATAAGTAAATAAAATTAGAAGAATAAAAATAGAGACTTACAGGTGTGTTCAGCAAGGAGTTTTACTTAGAACTGGAAAACCTGAGTAGGAACCTTTGGGGAAATTTGATGACCTGGTTGGGAAATGGTGAGGGGGTAAGTAGTAAAAGTAAAACAAAATCTGGAATATTATATTATCTAAAATTTTAAGATATGGATGGATACAAGAGAAAATACTATATCTATGGACTAATAAATTATAAATATACACAAATACATATAAAATAGAATTAAGAAATTATAAATAGAAGTACAATGTGAGTAAAATAAAAAAAATAAATAAACATACATAGAAGTAAAATGTAATTATAAAAATAAGAGACCAAACATTGCAGAAGTATAGAGAGGAAACAAATATGAACAATTATAATTATACTTAGTTGTAGATATGAAAATTACATTTAAATATTAGATAATATTGAGACATAATGGTTAAAAAGTACAATGAATACAAAGTAAAAACGGATGATCATACATCGATGTAGAATGTGAACATAAAATTAAAAATAAAAGAGAGATCATACAAAGCAGAAATAGTTAAAAATAATGAATGTTTAAATTGAATTAATCAATAAACATTGAAAATAGATAAAAAATAATAAGATGTATTAAATAAGTTATTTTTCACTTATAAGATTTAAGAAGAACTGCAAAGTCGGGTTGAAAAATAATATATCTTTAGTATATCTTAAATTTATTTAATTATGTTCTCACTTAGATCTTCTTGGACAGGATAAACCTGGTTGTACCTAAATCTAATATATTTTAATGCCATTAAATAATTGTTAAGGAAAATTATTTTTTAAACTTTCTCTCTAATTTGGAAAGTATTTCTATTTTTATCCATCCTTAGCTTCCAACAACACAGCTATGAGTTGAATGGAAGTTGGGAAGAGTAAAATAATATATCTTTAGTATATCTTAAATTTATTTAATACATGAAGAAAGCGTGGTGTTTAAGGAGTCTTCATGGATAAACTTTTGACAGGTAACTTGTGTTTATGAAAATAATATCCATTCAAAAATTATATTATTATTTACGTTTACAATCGAAATATATGAAGGTGGATAATCTTGGCAATGGTAATGAAAAGTTTAGATATTGATGGAGGAAAACCTGGCTCCGCCTGGGATGAGTTCCAGGAAGGGAGGGTTGCCTGGGCAACTGTCACTATTATGGATTTTTCATATGAGCTTGTCAACTGTAGGGCGCACAGAAAAATTTATATTTTATAGAAGTAGTTTTTATTGTCACTATAAAGATCCATTAAATTTCGCTAATTATTAAGCTAAACTAAACACGTAAATTTTACTAAACACACTGTTTATTTATTTAATGAAGTGTGATCATAACTAGCTTATTCATCCATCAAACTTTGTCATTGTTTTATAAATTTGTGTTTTGCCAACGTCTATATTTTGAAATACTACTTCTTTTAAAAATTATGAGAAATAAATTAAGATCGATGAAAAATCATCATACTAGGAATAAATTAAGATAGATGAAAAATCATTATATTAGGAATCTATAACGTAAGTACACAATGATGCTTTGTAAATTTCAAGCAAATTGGAAATGTTTTCCAGGAATATTACAGGCTTGTTTTGGGATCAACACGAATATTCGCCAACAGATCTCTTCGAGATTAGTTTTTATCTTGAATCAAGTTTATTTATTTGTTTTGTGTTTCTCTTCTTCCATTATCTGCTATAAATGTTTCACCTGTACGACTATGTTTTTTCTATGCAGTAAATTTTTTCCCTCTTATTATAGAACCTGTTCGTCTTACAGGTTATATACTAGGAATCTATAACGTAAGTACACAACAGTGCTTTGCAAATTTTAAGCAAATTGGAAATGTTTTCCAGGAATATTACAGGCTTGTTTTGGGATCAACACGAATAATCGCCAACAGATCTCTTCGAGATTAGTTTTTATCTTAAATCCACTTTATTTATTCGTTTTGTGTTTCTATTCTTCCATTACCTGGTATAAATGTTTCACCTGTAAGACTATGTTTTTTCTATGCAGTGAATTTTTTCCCCCTTATTATAGAACCTGTTCGTCTTTATTATTTCTATTTTTTTGGTTCTGTCATACAGTTATCCTCAGTATAGACCTCTTTGAAGTAAACGAATAGGTTTTATCGCAGTATATGATACTAACTTCCGCGTGCTCAGATCGATGATGTAGGAGGGTCACGAGGCATGTGTGGGCCTTGATCGAACACGTGCGTTTCTATCTCACGGTTACATGTGAAACAACAGAATCCAGTATTAGATATTACCAGTGTATATCAAATGTCACTATTACTAACGCAATAAAAAAAAGGCCTTTAGATTAATTTCTTAATTCAATATTTAACTAATCAATATTGATGGGATATTTGATTGAAATTTAAATTTAAATAATCTTAATTCTTGGTTAATGAAACATTTAACACATGATTGTCTTAAGCAGTGCTGGCCTTAGACATTCGGCCTCCTGGGGCAATGACGTCATCTCTCCCTCTCCATAAAAAAATTAATTTATTTCTTAACCTATTTTATATTACGTAATATTGAAATTTTATTTCATTCAGCATTTCTCTGATACAGTTTCTGTATTGGTATGCTAAACTTAATTGTTTTTATACGTTTTGTATTTTAATTTTTAATTTTTTTTTAGCATACGGCAAGCGCACTGTTTAGGCAATTTTCCAAATTTAATTAAATTTGGAAAGCCAAATAACTCTAATGAGTTCAACATAGACAAAATTCGTCTTCTTTTGGCAGTGTACTGTATTTTGATTTTAATTGGTAGGTTAAATGAATTGTGTAATATAAAACTCACCCTTTTATGCTGGCATTGACACCTTACTTAATTGAGAGAGCCCTCCAGTCTGCTCTAGTTGTTGCCTCTGGGAATTTCTGCCTTGGAATGGTCTGAGACCGTTTTGCCGCTGGGCCGACTCAAATTCTTATCTTTTAGATCTTATCTGGTCTATTTTCACTACTCGCCGTACTAATAACATACTACTAACATTACACAAAATTAACACTACGTACTAATAACATTCACACAAAACATATCCCCCAACATAAAATATCTCATTTCACAAACAAAAAAAAAATCATACTCATAGATTGGTAATTACCAGGCAAGGCACAAAACGATAGGAAAATCACTTGCTGTACAATAAAGAAAGAAAGAAATTATTCGAAATATATTTTTGGAAAATTAGAAATAAAAGTGAGCCAGATTAAAAATAGGCTAATAAATAACAATTTATTTTTAAAAAATGCTTCCTCGTTAAATTTAAGAAAAGAAAAAATATATAAATATCAATAAAAGGTTTCTCCAGAAGGGAGAGGCACTAACTTGTGCACAGGTCATACCAAAGCGGCTGTCAAATCCTGGAAATGTCTCTATTATTCTGGCAAGCCACCACTCCTGCCGCTGAATATCTTTTTCATGTAGAATAACAAGGGTTCCTCTTTTAAATTTTCCCTGTCATTATACCACTAGTTGTAAGCCACCAGATTGTGGAGGTACTCATAATACCATCTCTTCCAACAATTACGAAGAGTCTTTGAAATCATATCCCAATGGCTTCTCGAAGGAAACACAGGAACGTCTTCTTGTTCAGATTTGGTTAGGATGGGTTGATCTTTAAGAAAGTTCCCTGGGGTGAGATAATCAAGGTTATCCGAAGGCTGACTGCTAATATTACAGATAGGATGGGAATTGAGAACAGCTTCAACTCGTACCAGTAGTGTATAAAATTCCTCATATGTTAACTCATGATCCTGGAGAACCATAACAAGGTGTCTCTTAGTGGATTTAATAGCTGCCTGCCAAATACCACCGAAATAAGAAGATGCTGGAGGAGTAAAGGTCCATCTTATACCCACACGGCTTAAATGGTTAGAAATGGATTCGCTCTGTCCCTTAACAAATGGGTAAGGCTCCTTCAACTTCTTGGATGCTTCAACGAAACGTTTCACAGTCATTATAAATATGCGAAGGCAAACCAGGTCTGGCAATAAATCTGTCTAATGTGGCAATAAGTGAAGGAGTGGATTGGTCCGTCCCATGTTCTAGATGGATGGCCTTGGTAGACATGCATACAAGGAGAGTTAATCAACATTTCGACTTAAGTGCATTGAGCTTACTACAAATATTCATAAAGAAGGCGCCGCCATAGCCTATTCCAACTCGTTGAAAGGATCGGCCCTCGGTCATCCTGAAAGACGGCAAGTCACTCATTTTCGGAGCCTGTGACTTCACATTATTTTTGTGGCCTGTAATGCATTAATAAAGCCGTCTTCTAACGAGTATTTTCAGAGAAGGGATCCAAAATAGGCGATGAATGAGCGACGGACCGACAGGGACCCACCTGCAAGGAATACTTGTGGTAATGGTGACACAAAAGGACTGCTAAATGTGAATCTTTAGCTATCACCAGCGGGTGCTTACTTTTTTCATCAATTGTGGAATACTCCAATCTACCATCCACCCTGAGAGCTCCGTCCTAATCCTAAAATAGTGTGAGCCTGTTGAAGGAACCCTTGGATGGTTTGAAACTGTTAAGAAAATCAATTAATTCAGATTTTTTCTGAACAAGCCTGACATAAATCATCAAATAATTCTTAAGCTCGTCAACAGTCAAAGCTCCAGCAGCTAAAACAGCGTGCTCCAGATCTCGGCAACATTTAATAAATTTTAAAATAAAAGCGAAAACCCTTTGCAGCTTTAAAAGGCTCGAGTATTTTTCCAGGCAAATCAACAAATAATTGGGTTTTTCAGCCGCTAACAGCCGATATTGTTTTTACTTCAAGCAGAACAGATGGAAGTTGAATATGATCAATAGGCCAGTCAGAAAGAGGTAACGTAATAAATGCCGGACCGTTCCAATAAAGCTCATGTGAAAGTATCTGCTGAGGTGTGAGGCCTCTAGATTAACAATCGGCTGGATTCTGTTTTGTAAGAATATAGTTTCATCAATTGGGTTCCGTTACTTCTAAAATCTGGACGACGCGATTAGCAACATAAATCGTAAGTTCATAAGGCGAACATAAATCGTGTCTGTAACCAATAGAGTACGTTACGAGGGTCAGAAAAACAATATATTTCATTAATTCGCAAACGACTTTTAAGTTTACCAATACACGTAAGTGGTCTGAAGGCAAGTAGAGCAGCGTTTAATTCCAAACGAGGCACTGACTAAACCTTTAGTGGGAGCACCTTACTTTTTGCCCTTAACAAGTCAATTTTGGTAGCTTCTGTTGGTCACCCAACTGCCCCAAAATGCGCCCCCCACACGACTTAGACCGTTCATTGCTAGGGCCACCCTACCTGCCAGATATTCCAAATGAGGCGTCATATTGAGGCCTACACCTAACCTAACCCCTAGGTAGGTTACCACCTCACTTGGACGTATCCTCTGGCCTTCTATGTACATCGTTATAGGGTGTGCCCTATCAGTCTTTCCCTTAAGGAGGATGGCTTGAGTCTTGGCAGCAGCCATCCTCATCTTCTTCCCCTCACACCATCTAGCGACTAAGCCGGCGCATCGCTCTGCTTCTCTCTTGACTCCAGCTCTGCTGTTGGAGGCCACCACAGCAGCTAGGTCGTCAACGTACGCAGTGGCAGGAAACAGCTCCTCCTCTAACACTCCCAGTAACTCATCAAAGACGAGCTTCCATAGAGCAGGACCAAGCACCGATCCCTGAGGGCAACCTCTCTCTATGGAAGCTTTTACCTCGTAGTAATTGCCTCTACTCTTCACACTTCTGTCCTGGAGGTAACTTCTTACTAGTGTGTATAAGTTACTGGGAGCATCATACCTCTGCAGCTGCTGGAGCACGCTAGGCCACCATACGCTGTCGAAGGCGGAGGATATGTCGAAAAGGAGCAACATGACATACCGCTCCGCCCTCTCCTCAACATCTCTGCGCACTCTCAGCAGAGCATCAGCGGTTCCTCTGCCTCTGGTTGATCCATATTGTCGTGGATGACTTGCTCTATCGAAAACAGGTCGTAAACTAGTCATCATGAGGTTCTCCAGGACCTTGCTAATCACAGGGAGGAGACATATAGGTCTATATGAAGTAGGGAGTTGTTTGTCCCTATCTCCTCCCTTGTAGAGTAGTCTCAAATCAGCGATCTTCCATCTTCTGGGAAAGTATCCCATATCCAGACATTCATTGAAAATACTCAACAGCCGGTCTTCAATATACGTGATACTATTCCTCAAGATCGCTGCATCGATTGCATCAAGTCCTGGAGCACGATTAGTCTTCTGCTTATCCACGGCAATACGAAGATCGTGAATGTCCCATGGTGGGCACAAATCTGAACCAGGTGGATATACCGTGGTGCGTCTCACAAAATCATCATTTTCGCTGTCCTGGGTTGGGTCATCTCTGGGATATATTGCTTCAATGAAAACATTGACAGTTTCTTCAAGGGTGGTTGCCTGAGTATTATGATAACGCAAGGCTGCAATTGTCTGCAGCGGGAACAACTTACCCAATGCTACTCTATACGGAATACCCCAGGGATTCTTCAAAGACTCTTCAATGATGAAATCGTCCCAAGACTTCCGCTTTTGTGAGCGAACCTCGTTTCGGTATATCCTGGCTTTTGACTTGTACTCATTGCGAAGTACAGTGCGCCTCTCGTCGCATCTGCACCTCTGATATGACCGCCGGGCCTTGTAGAGGTCTCGTTTTAGAACAGTTAAGGCTGGCGTCCACCATGGGACAGGTCGAACCCTCGCCTTCCGGTGCTTGAGGGAGTGCTCGGCAGCATCACGAATGTTGTTGGTAATCCTGGACACCTTGTAGTCCAGATTGTCGACTACATCCATCTCTGCTGCTTCCCACTCCTCGTCTGCAATCACTCCTTCCAGGCAGGACCTGAAGCCACTCCAGTCATTTATTTTAGTGACGAAACGCTTATCAGTACCGTGGGAACATCCTGGCTCATTTACCAGGCCAATTGATATCGCAACGTGATCGAAACTCGTATCAGATCTGAGAGTCCAATCATCAATATACCTCGTAAACGCAGGCGTGGCGATCGTGACGTCAATCCAACTCTGCCCCATGCCTCCAGAGAAGGTAGGGGTGGCAGAGGGTTCGTTCATCACAACAAGGTGATTTCTTGCTATGAAATTTCTCATTTTAGCGCCTCGCCTGTCAGTAATATTGGACCCCCAGACCGTGTTCCAGGAGTTGGTATCTGAGCACATGATCACATTCCTCATCTCTCTAATGATCGCCTCCATAGCGGATATGCTTTCTTCTACATCACTATTCACAGGTAGGTATGCCGATACCAATGTGAAAGAAATCTTGCCCCACTTAACATAGCAAGATGCATAATCCGCCATGGTGTGTTGCCTCAGATCCATCACGTCAAGGTTAGGATTATTAATCACTATTGCAGCCCTAGGCCTTCTCTCTCCACTGCTCAGGGCTATAACCCTTGACGTGAGGCCGAACCCCGTAACCCTGTTCCCACGGCAGCTAGGTTCCTGGACCGCCATGATATCGTAGCGTTGTGCCATAGCCCGAAGCTCGTCAGCCACAATATGCCGGCGGCCCATATTCAACTGCAGGATGTTGAGTCTAATCATAGTGAGTTCTCCTCACTAATTCTTGAGATCTCTTGATGTGCACCGGGCATTCTCGACTTCCTGCCTGGTGTTTAGCCTTACTTGTTTGAACACATTCCCTCAAGCAGTTAACGCATGTAGGTGCGGTCTTATTTCCTTTTGCAGGACAGTTTTTAGCAATATGCCCACTCGCCGCACACCACTTGCATACTATGTCATTTGCCTCACAAGTAGCTTTTGTATGTCCATATCCCTGACACCTTAGGCAGGGAGGAGCATCGGGGTAATCTAAGATTGTCAGTGACCACCAACCTCCTGTAATTATCTCCTCCTTGAGTAGATTATACCTTACCATTGGATGTACTTCTAACACCCAATTATTGGTAATTTTATTTCTAGCCATTGATGAGAACAATGGCTTTATATTGCCTAATTTGTTCTCAGAAATAGCGGCCGATTTCGCAGCCAACCTTTCCCATAGCACCCTTTCTAGATTTTCCGCAGTCCATGAAAGGGGAACTCCTTTTACCTCCACTTTTGGTTTTCTTTTTAAGGCTAGTTTTGCCTCCATCCCAACTTCTTTTAATTTTTGCCATTCAATTATTTTTTTCGCATGGGCACCTTCATCTACACAAACTAAAACTGAGCCAGCTTTGGTAGCCCGTACAACTCTCGCCTTGACTCCTAGTTCAGCTGGAGAAGGCAGGTTGTTGATGATGTCAACTGCACTTTTACCTTGAGAAGCGATGGTAACATAAGTTGGTCTTGTAGTATCCATCGGTTTTAATGGAAGCCCTTTAACAATATCGGCCATCGAAGTCTGATGTGTAGACCTTTTCTTAGTCAAACTTTCCTCTGCTATAGGTTTAGAGGCCTCGATATCTTTGCCCACTTGTGGAAGAGCCTTTTTCCTTCTTTGCTTTTTCTTTACTTCCTGGAAACTTTCATTCTCCGTAGTCTCAAGAAGGGCATCGGCTAATAGCGGTTGTTCTTTAATGCATGGAAACTCCCGAGATGTCTGAGGTTCTGACAGTGGTCTTTGAATGGTTTTACTTTCCCTCTTGATTCCCTCGATAACCATAGGTACTGCTTTTTCCACTAATGCATTTACTATTATATCATACATTTCAGAGGATGCTAATGTGTCCTTTACCACACGTTGTACTAAAACCGTTTTTTCATAGTTTTTATCATATATTGTCTCCATTATATCTATTAACTGTTGAATTTTCCCATTAACGTGCTTTTGTACCTTCGCACTCACGTTCCTGTCTGTTGCGTTCATGTAGACCCTGATGCTTTCTTTGATTCTACGTGCATCTTGCAGAAGACTATCGTCTACACGTTCTTTATCTGTTTCTTCTCGGGCGTCAGGAGATCCTTTCCTTTGCCTCTTTGCTGAAGGCCTTGGGCACTTTATAGCCTGTTCTTCCACCATTTCCTGCTCCATTGCTGATACAATTTCATCAGCCATCTAACGCAATCCAAAATTAACAACTTTATACGTTGAAATAATGGTTGAACAACAGTAGAAGGAAATATTCAGCACTCAAAATCTAACCTAAGTTCGAGAAACTTATAAATTTCCTAACTTCAAAAGTAAGACTTTAATATGAACTTACCTTAGTGTTCGTCAACGTAATAGTCTCTAAACGTTTCCTTTTGGTTAGATTAAACCTTCGTGAAAACCACAAAGTTAACCTTAACCTCCACTGTTCACTCAAAAGGTTTATAAAATTAACTAAATAAACATAAAATAAAACTAAACCATGTTCAAAAAACTGTGAAACACTAAAATAACACAAACAGTAGGAAACGATACAACAAAACTAACAGAACAAACTTGAAAAATACAAAACACTGAGAAGCACAATAATACCTTGAGCTGACTTATGATGTATGGAGAAGGGATCTTGGCGAGGCGGACATAATCCAGTCTTACATATTCGTCCGTCTGTGCAGCATAGCCAGAACTTATACCCCGGATCTCTCATAAATCTATTTTCGAGATTTCTAAATCTGTGTAGAGCTATCTCTCTAGTGGTATGAAGGCTAATCGGCTGGTTAGAACGAAACGGAAGCAAAACAACGAATCTACTCTGGAGATCACGAGTGCGTATATTTTAAAAATGATCTTCGCAAAATGCTCCTTCCGGATTTGGCGGAATTCAAACTGTAACTTCCTCAGTCTCTCAAAATCGCTTTTATTTCTCCTGAAAAAAAGGCTGGTCTGCGTGAAAAAAGTACGTACTGAAGGTGTACGGCTTTCTGAAAGAGTTTCTCCAAATAATACCCATCCTAATGAGGTATGAATACCTTTCGTTTGAACCTTTAGAAATAAAACAGGGTCACTTAAAACCTCTCCGAACATCTCAACACCCATAAGTAGATTAACTTTACCCGGCATATGAAATTGAAGGTTCACAAGTTCAATGGAAGCAAATCTGTTCTGTAGTTCTTGGGATACTGTAGTTTCTCATTGACTATATAATATAATTTTTGATGTAGAAGGCTCGGAACAAATTTCTGCGATTCAAAGTTGTGACCTAACGAATTTGCAAAATTCTTCAAAGCTAGGAATTTCGCCGAGACTATTCTCAAATATTCTTCTTGTATTAAAGTCTACAACATTCAGTTCGATCTGAAGTAAAACAAAATCAGCGAGGTTATTGAGTTAAACATTTTTTAAGGCATTATAATTATCTTCAAATGTGTCCAAAAAGTTTCTAAAGTTGGAAGGATTATCAACAGAAAATGATTTAAACCGTATAATTTTGTTAAGATGGTAGGCCGCAATGATCCTTTTATTAATATAACGCATTACTCATTTATCATAGGCCAAGTTGTAATTTACAGCGTTTGAAGAAATGGCTTGAAAGTAGGATGAACTAAAAGTGACTTGAGATAAGAAAATTTGGTTATATCCGTGTAATTTCGGTTATGAATTAAGGCATCAAATAATGATTTAAACGAAGGAAATTGTTCGTACTGTTCAGAAAATTGAAGAATTTGTAACTCTGGCTATTTAGGGTGCGCTTCTGGTTCTGACACGCTGGTTTGAGAAGCGGGAACTACTACTTGCTCAGCTGAAATTAATCTCTCATGAGCAACTTTTATCTCATTACAAATTTCTTCTGCTGCTAAAGAAGGTGTGTTTATCTCAATCCTACGTCTCTTCTCTAACGATTCATTTAGCACCGACATTTTCTTCAAAACTGCTTCAAATTCCTCCATTTGTGCTTTAATTTACAAAGCCCTAGCCATAAAAATTTCTTTTCTATCAGGGAGACCCTGAATAACATCGAAAGTGGTTTGAATTCTAAGAATGAAATAAAAGAGGGAGTAAATAATTTTCTTTAATCCATTAGCTCAATTTGAGGTTGCCATAAAGGTTATTGAATTATACAAAAATCAAATGTTTTAAAATTGAGATTGTTTAAATCAAAAACCTTTATAAATGCCTGTCCATTTATAGCTATATGATCTTTCAGTTTATATAAAATTTACATATTAAATACTCAGTTTCCGACAGTTTCTTAATACTAATAGTCTTCTGATTGTAATACTACCGAAAATGAGTTATTTCTCCTATCATAACTAAACATAGAGGCAATTTTCTGCATGAAAAGAGTGAAGCCACTGCGCAGCTTATCGATTTCTTATAAAGAGGAGGGAACGTTGAGCCTCTTTCAACATTGTGGGAAAAGTACAGAGTGCTTATACTAAACGAAATGTTTACTAAATCTCCTGTTTACAGATTGATTTATTACTTCAAAAATAACGAAAATTAGGTATATTGTTTTCAAATTTAATAGACAGAAATTTTAAAATATGGTAATTGCAAATAACATCAAAGAATCTTCTATAATTATCTACGTACATAATCAAACTTTCGTAAAATGATGTTATTCTAAGAATAACTACAATCAGTAACAAATAAATTTATGGTTATTTTCTAATCATTTGAATTATTTCACGACCATCTATTCCTATCCGATATCCCTAGAAAATATTGCATTCCAGTGAAGGATAGTGATCTCCTTTGGTAAAAGTCCTCAATTCAAATTTTGAATTCTCACCGAATTTCCATTTGTCAGAAAATCAATGTTCTCTGGTGGGGCGGAGCCCGCGGGAGGATAAGGTTGACCAGATAATATTTCAAAAAGGTGAACATTTTTCTTAAAATACATAATTCTACCTTTTGAATTTTTTATTCATGTTTGGAGAGGAAAGGAGCAGTATTGTTAGAAATGTCTCGTTCAAATCGCTATGAAAGATGTTGAAACAGAATATTTATATATACACAGACGTACAGACACACAAAGATTTAGACTTACATACAATATTTACAATATTTAGATATAAATATATGTGTGCGCATATATATGCGCATTTGTGTGTTTATCGGTTTGTCTTATTTATGTATGTACATATTTTAGGGTGAAAGGAAAAGTAATTTTTTTTTTCGAGTCATAATATTTTGGTAAAGATGCGGATTATAGAGATATAATAAAATAAAAATAAAAATAAATCATATCGATTCGTGATCTTCGATCGTAAATATTATTTAAAGTTGCATAAATTCACAATTGTTGAGTAATTTGTAATGCTTTTCAAATCACCACTGTAATTTATAAATGTAATAGTTCAAATTCTAATGTATTAAAATTACCATAAATGCTAGTTAAAATATTATTTGAATTTATCAATGTCTTTAGACGGCTCATCGTCTCCAAACTTTATGAAAAAATCTGCTTAATGATAAAAAATTAAAGTATTAATAACTTGGATTTTTATTTATTTTATTTTATTCTCCTATATAACACTATATATATGTAGCTATTTAATATCTCTACGTTTTATTAGTTTTTTTTTCAGCTGAAGGTACTTGGAAATCTTATTACTTTAGATAACATAATACTTTCAAAACTTCCGAAAATAGATGTAGGCTGCTATGTTAGGAGTTAACTGCGTAGTAATCCAGACGACCACCGCTACAAGGTCTATATTTGGATTGATGGTAGAGAGCTCGTTGGTGCTACATACAGCTCATTCGAAAACGTTTCCTAGTGTTAAAAAAGAAGAGCATTATTTCCTAATTTAACAACCAGATTCCCTTCTAAATCAGCCAGATAGCTCGTAATTCTATATACCGCGACAATATTCGAATTTATGAATAATAAAAGGAATACAAAAATATCACATCGATAGTGCATATGGATTGAAGTTTGCGGAAACTTGTTCGAAATCTGTAAAGTTCAACTAAATAATTGATTCTTTGGAAATTTTTTAAGACTTGGTTAAAACATACTTTCTAAAAAGATAAAGATATAAATGATACATCGACAGCCACGCAGCAAAAGCCTGCAAAAACAAAAACTAAAAACTTTCAGGAGTCCAAGAAAACTGTGTAACTTTTTTTCTATGAGCATTATATTTTCGGTTAATTTTTTTTTTTTTTTTTTGCAAAGACAATAATGTAATGCTCTATGTACCTTTTTTTTATCGTATTTCTGCCACATAATCTTTTAGAGCCATTACTTCTGGCTTAAATCTTTTTAGTTATTTTGAAAAATATGTATTAGTTAGGTCAAACCCAAAAAATTTATTGTATTGGGTTGGAAAATAATTACTTTCGGTTTTTCAGAGTGAAATAAAACTCAATTTACAATAGACATAAAATTTATTTTAATCTACAATACATTGACCATTATTTAATATGACTTTTGCCCATCTTTCTCCTAACTGCACAATGTTATGTTCATAGAATGTCTGGAGTTTATTGTTAAAAAATTATCCAAGTGGTTTTTGATGTACTCTTCCTTTTGAAATTTCTTTCCATTCATGAAGTTCTGTAGAGACCGGAATAAGTGGTAGTCACTTGGAGCTAGGTCTGGTGAATAGGGAGGGTGGGGCTAAAGGTCCCATCCAAGACTCAATAATTTATTGCGAGTGACAAATGAGGTGTGGGGCCTAACGTTGTCTTGGTGGAACACGACACCCTTCCGATCATTCATAAATCTTCAGCATGTACTTCAAATTCAATGTTATTATATCCGTTGGAAAGCTGAATCATTGCTCTTCAAAGCTGTACGAATGATTTTTTATTTAATGCCTAGATAAGGAATAAATAAACAAAAACTCCTTATAGGTTTTTATTTTTTATCTCCATTTGTAGTTTGTTTACGAAGGTCCTGTTGGTGTCTTGTGTGTATTTTATGTGGCTCTAAATTTCTTTTAGATAGGTAAAGTCTTATTGAAGTTATAACATTTTTTGTTATTTTCGAAAAAAATCATGTGAGACACAAACATTAAACCTGGAAACATAGCCGAGATTGAACAAATGGTTTTCTACGCTTGAGTGCGACATATTTAGGGCCATAGCAATCTCTTGCACTGATTGGGTGAAATTTTGATTAACAATGGCCTTAACATTGCCCGTTCCAATTTCATCTGGGCGACCAGACTGTTGAG